CTAGTGTTTTGTTCCACTCTTGCCGCCTTAGTTTCCGTCATATCGGTGTTATGTTCCCGGATTTTGCGTTCCTTACATGGTTTGGTTATAATGGGAACCCCTTGACAGTTCGCCTTGAATAAAACTCTTCCAGCAATGCCCAACATCGGTTTTACCATTCACCACCTAGCCTTTTTCCCTTGGGTTTCGCGGACTCAAGGGTCATCTTTATTTTACCCCCCCGGGCCAGTGCTTCTCTAAGTGTTGGTCCAACTGAGCGATGTCCGGGGCTACCAGGGGCAACTCTGGGCTGGCCTACCCGACGTCTTGCTCATCCGGTGTGCCCTGAGAACGAGATATGTGTAGTTCCTATCGGGATTTGTCGGCACATCTGGGTGGTGTTGCTGGTTTAGTTTTACCATTGTCGAGGATGTCTTGTAACCGGGATGCTGAGTCTGATCGGATTGTCTTGGGAGAAGGAATATCCTTCGTTGACCGTGAGAGCTTGTGATGGGCTAAGTTGGAACTCCCCTGCAGGGATTTGAACTTTCGAAAGTCGTGCCCGCGGTTATGGGCAGATGGGAATTTGTTAATGTCCGGTTGTAGATAACCTGAAACTTAACTTAATTAAAATGCACCAACCGCGTGTGTAACCGTGATGGTTTCTTCTCGGCAGAGTCCGGAAAGCGAACACGGTGTTGGAGTAATGCTTGACGTAGGTTGTTCTAGGATCACTTCTTGATCATAGTTGTTCGTCCGTGCTTTGCCTTCTCTTCTCGCTCTCTTTTGTGAATATGTTAGCCACCATATATGCTAGTCGCTTGCTGCAGCTCCACATCATACCTTGCCTTACATATAAGCTTAAATAGTCTTGATCGCGAGGGTGTGAGATTGCTGAGTCCCCGTGACTCACAGATTCCTTTAAAAACCAGATGCAGGGACCGATGATACCGTTCCAGATGACATGACCGAGCTCAAGTGGGAGTTCGATGAAGACTCTCGCCGTTACTACGTGTCTTTTCCAGATGATCAGTAGTGGTGCCCAGTTGGGGCGATCGGGGACTTTGTCACATATGGGGGTTGATCTTTATTTTGGTACCGAAGTCAGACCCTGAGTGTATTGGATGAGTGTAATGTTATTCATGTATTTGTGTGACGTGGCGAGTGTAAGCCAACTATGTATCCTTTCCCCTTTATTTATATTACATGGGTTGTTTGCGAAGATTACCTCACTTGCGACATTGCTTTCAATGCGGTTATGCCTCTAAGTCGTGCTTCGGCACGTAGGAGATATAGCCGCATCGAGGGCGTTACAGCTTAGGCTCGATGGTACTGTTGAGAAGTACAAGGCTAGGCTTGTGGCCAAGGGTTATACCCAGTAAGAAGAAGAGGATTTCTTTGACACTTATTCACATGTGGCCAGACTGACAACCATTCGAGTGTTACTCGCTTTGGCTGCCTCGCATGGTCTTCTCGTTCATCAGATGGACGTTAAGACGGCTTTCCTTAATGGAGAGCTAGACGAGGAAATTTACATGCAACAGCTGGATGGCTTTGTAGTAAATGGTCAGGAAGGAAAGGTGTGTAAGCTAGTGAAATCTTTGTATGGCCTGAAACAAGCGCATAAGCAATGGCATGAGAAGTTCAACACTACTCTGACATCTGCTGGCTTTGTTGTGAACGAAGCTGGCAAATGTGTATACTATCGCTATGATGGGGGCGAAGGAGTTATACTGTGTCATATGTCGATGACATACTGATATTTGGGACCCACCTCAAGGTCATTGAGGAGGTTAAGTCTTTTCTATCTCACAACTTTGAGATGAAGGACCTGGGTGTGGCTGATGTTATCCTGAACATCAAGCTACTGAGAAATTCTGAGGGTGGAATTACACTTTTGCAATTCCACTATGTTGAGAAGATTTTGAGCCGTTTTAGATATTCGGACTGCAAACCTTCTGCAACACCATATGATCCTAGCGTGCGGATTCGAAAATTCGAAGGCACGTCTGTAGATCAATTGAGATATTCTCAAATGGTTGGTTCACTGATGTACCTAGCATGTGCTACTTGTCCTGACATCTCATTTGCTGTGTGCAAACTGAGCCGGTTTGTTTCCAATCCGGGAGATGTGCACTGGCATGCTGTTGAGCGAGTGATGCGTTATTTGCAAGGTACTGCGAACTATGGAATTCACTATTCTGGGTACCCGACGGTACTTGAGGGGTATAGTGATTCGAATTGGATATCTGATGCTGATGAGATGAAAGCCACAAGTGGACATGTCTTCACACTTGGTGGTGGTGCTGTTTCCTGAAAGTCTTGCAAGCAGACGATTTTAACCAGATCGACTATGGAAGCAGAACTCACAGCATTAGACACATCATGCGTCGAAGCAGAATGGCTTCAAGAGCTTTTGGTGGATTTGCCGGTGGTTGATAAACCAATGCCGGCTGTCCTTATGAACTTTGACAATCAAACAGTGATTGCCAAGGCTAAGAGTTCAAAGGACAATATGAATTCCACAAAGCACATAAGAAGAAGATTGAAATCTGTCAGAAAATCAAGAAACTCCGGAGTAATAGCGTTGGATTATATCCAGACGGCTAAGAATCTGGCAGACCCTTTTACGAAAGGGCTATCACGGATTGTGATAGAAAATGCATCGAGAGAGATGGGTATGAGACCCACGTAAGTTGCCATGGGGCAACCCAACCTATGTGATCGGAGATCCCGTGAATTAGGACCTGGAAAAACAATCCAGCGGTCAACTGAGGAGAGTATTCTTAATTAACCCACTCCGTTGGAGATGCACAATACTCTCAATTCTGTAAGGCAGGCTGACTTTTGTCTTAATGTGTTCCAAAGCTTGTGTAAGCAAGATGCTAACCTACAGAGCATTCTTTGGAGGAACACACCTATGTGAGCCCGACTGCTGTTCACAGTCTATGAGATTGGGTAATCTCTATTAAGCTCATGAGAAGGTACGGAGTATAGCTAATAAGCTCCACCCGTGGGGTTTAGCCTTCGACAGCCATGTATTAGCAGACAATAGGCGAAACTTCTGCACACCAAACTAACAATTCAAGGCATAGTCCATTGTTTAGTTGTGAAGAAGTCCAATCCTGTTGCTCTAGGTGGAAGTTCAACTTAACAGTCTCTACTGAAAATTCTGGTATATCAAACATTGTTTGGAATAGTTGACAAATTTATGTGCCTCGAGATCTGGTGGGGGATTGTTGGATTATGGATGGGCTTAGGCCCATATAAGACACTAATCCCTGGTTAATCTTGAGGCCCATGTATGAGATGGCAGGTGGTGGGAAGTTTAGTCCCACCTTGCTAGTTGAGGAGAGTTGAAACCCCTTTATAAGGGCTGCTCTACCACTTGCCATTGGGAGCTTGGGAAGAGGAGTGGTACACGCGCGCTCCTCCTCCTCCGCCGCCCGCCACGCCACGCCACGCCTCGCCTCGTCACGACGCGCGCGCCCGCCGCGGGTTGCGGGAATGAGCCGAGCCGAAGCTTATTTTTGCCGCTCAAGAATGAATTAATTAATCAGGGATTAATTAACGAGTCGCTAAAATGTGGGCCACTATCCAAGACGTTGGACTGTGGGCTGACTTGCGTTGCCGGGATTCGTCGACTCCCTTGCCAGGGGTGCGACCCTTGCCGTGACCCGCGTATTCGTCGACTCCCTTGTCGGGAGTGCGATCCTTGCCGGGAACAACGACTCCCTTGCCGGGAGTGGGCCAACTCGGTCGTGGGCCTCGTCAAGGCCCACGACTTTCTTCCTTACGGACTATATAAGAAGGCTCTGGCCAGTGAAGTAAACCAGTTCGGTTCACTCACTCCCTCTCGCGTGACCTAGCCATTATCTACTGTTCCTCACTCTGTGCTGCCTCCGGCGATCCCATCCCGACGACCGCGTGCACGGCTGGTCGGGAGAGCAGGTGCCTCCGGAACCCTGTCGTTCGAGATCCTGCCCGGGAGAACGGCAATAAGGTTTTTGGGGGCGTCTCGACGCGACTGCTCCCAATCCGTCCCCAACTCTGTTTGCCTCTGTTTCCACTACTTCCTCTGCATCGACACCATGGCCGACGACGCCGCCTCTAAGAAGAAGGCCACGGACGACGCCGAGGCTGCTGTTGCAGCCGCCGCGTTGGCCTGGCCAACCGGAGGGTATGATCTGTTCATTCCTCGTTTACTCGTACTTATACTAGCCGTATATGTGCTGCTCATAGAAGGTTCGATTCTATGTTTTGTACGTGCTAGTATGCTTAGGTATCGCTATGAGATGCATACCTTTTATGCCATGCTTACTGTTTACTCGTGGAATTTTAATGTTCTTTTTTTCTCAGACTATAAACTTGAATGTCAGCATCAATGGCTTCTAAGTTTGTGTATCTTCAAAAATTCTACACAATAGGAATTGGCCATAACCTTTATTCAGAGCAATCACTCCGACGTCCAATAAATGACACCCACGTTTGACATTGAACACATATGATAAAAAAAACCCAATAATAACTAATGAAATATACTCTATCATAGAAGTGGTGGCACCCAACCATATAATACTATACAGTGTCTAGTTTATGAGAGGCACTCTAAATCATACACATAAGAACTTCTCTGATGCTTCTATGAAGATGGAAACATGAGTGCTCCATTGCTTGATAATAAAAATCCCATCATGCAAAAAAATATCAGGAATAACAAGAAAAAATTACAGTGGACAAATGCAAATACATCATGTACATACAAAAGAACAATGAAAGATCACAGTTAGGCACATACCGTCTAGTGTGTTGCGGATAACCAATAAATTACTAGCTGAGCACAACTGCACATCTCAGCAGTGTGCATATACAAGGCACAGCTATACAACCATCAACAGAAGACTATTGGAAGAAGGGGTGAATCACGAGAAGATATACATAAAGCCTGGTTTGAGTGCAAATATCTCAATCTTCAAGGAAGCAAACCGAAGAAGAGCTGCATAGCGTACCACTTCCCACTGTCAGAATGAAACAAACTTCACAAGTATAGTGATTCCATTAAGAAGGATCAATGGAAATCTCATGTATTGAGCTGCGTATATGAGGCCAATCATCTGTCCTTTGAAGGTGTTTGCTCCCTGCACGCCTCTAGCGTCAGCGAAGCTCCATCCTCTGGGAGAAAGGAAACGGTCTTCATTTAATATTGCCAAAGCGTTAGCAATAAGCAGGACACCCTCAAGAAATGACCACAGCCCCATGCCTGCAAAATAAGAAGGGATCACACTCGGACATCAGTCACAAGGAAAGGAGCCCATAAGAGAGTCCTTTTTAACCCTCTGAATTTTCCTTTCCAAATTTTTATCGTAGATTGCAATTGTGTGTGGTTGAAAGATACTGTACCACGGGAGCAATGATAATTGACATGAATTTTTTGACTGGATGAATCATACTAGTATCATCTAAGATTATTTCTTACTGGGGCTAGGACGATTATGTAAGAACAGTATCAACTTGTCTTGAACCCATGATACATCCGACTGGCTGCAGTCACTGTCCCTCCATTAACTGAACCCATCTTGGGGTTGCAGCACATTAATTTGACACAAACAGGCCCATTCAGAAAAGGTTCAGTCGTTCCGGTTATGATTTCCCAGTAAGCGTCTTTTCCTAATAATGGTATAAATGCAAACACGAGAACCTGACAAGTATAACACGAATTATGAATTATGATGTTTCACCGTGACATATAAACGGACCAAGAAGAAAATTACACGGTGGAGAACTATGGTGATTCGGTTGGTCTCACAAAAACTGAAAAACAAACTGCAGACATGCATGGGGTACAGAACCCGGAGAAACTTATGGGTGGACACAGATCGATTGGGCTCTCTTTATTAATAAAAATACAAACCGAATCGGCGAATCGAACCATGGATTTGATGGTAAACCCTCTCACGAACCAAAAACAGGCGAGCGAGCTAGGGTTCCTTACCGACCAGAGAAGAAATTAAGCCGAGTCAGGACGGGTCTGCGATCCCAGTTCGCCCGGGCGGCAATGTTTGGGTCGTCGAGTTGACGATTTTGGATTCCGCCACTGCGAGAACGGCTCTGGTCTCCGTCCTCTTTTACGGAGCGGGGAACGGCTCCGGCCGGTTGCCGGAGGGGAGATAGAGACGGACGGTAGAAAAAAGCAGGGCTGGCTCCGGTTTCGTGTATGAGTTGGGCTGACATGGACCGACCGGGCGATGTGGCGGGAGACGAGCGATGCCCTCGCCTCAAGGACGCTCTAAATGGGTCGGCCCAACCTGACGTTCATATTTTTCTGTTTGTTTTTTAAAATCTTCGAATAGATTAAAAAATATTTTGCATCATTTAAAAAAGTGTTTCAAAGTGTATTTGAATTTTTTTAACACATATTCGATTTTTCTTCAAAAACATGTATTGAAAAAAATATTAATCGTCCTTCGAAAAAATGTTAGAAGTGCATAAGGAAATATTTTATTTTGTATGCCAAAAATGTACAATGTGTATGAAAAAATTAGACATCATATCGAAACATATATTTGAAAAATGTTTTTGATGTATATAAAAAATTAAGAATGTTTGCAAAAAAATGCAGACGTGTGTTAGAAAAAAGACTGAAGGCAGAAACTAGAGAAAAAACAAAAAAAAACACTACTAATAGTGGAAAAACCGATAAAAACACACCGAAAAAAGCGCATGTGTCTGCAGCTACATAGTGGGCTGGCCAAGTAGCCCCCATGCTAGAGGCAACCTGGAGCTCTACTTCGCAGTAAACCATACATAGCTCTGACAGACACCACAAGTCGCCTTAGATCTTAGAAACAAAACAAAAACAAGCCACCTCATATCGCGAAGCGTTTTTAAAAGAAAAGGAGAGAATATTGGTATGTTTGGACTGGAGTCCCGTCCGACAAAAAAATGGTGTTGTCCAGAGCTATGGTGTGTGTGTGTATGGATAAGCTCAAAATATTTGGTTCGCCCCATAGCGATGAGTTGTTCCCATTCAATTAGAAGCCAAAGTATTGGTGAGACGTTGGCGGCTGAATCATGCACAAGCTTTTTGGCTCGCTAATGCTTGAAAAGGCCTCCACATGCAAGAACCAATTGAGCCTTATGTATTGCCCCCTAAATTTGTCGTCATGCTTAGATTCCAGACTTCAATCCGGTCTAAAGTACATCTCAAAAATTGAAAACCCATTTAAAGCATAGTCTCATCCAAATTAACCGGTTTAAGGGTTTTCACTTACGTGTCCCTATGTCAACGAGATCATAAGTTTCTCTCTCTCCACCATGTGTTATGTTGACATGTTCTTATTCATTTGTAGATGTGAAGCTTCCCCTTTAGATAGCACAATGTGCAACTTGTCTTAGAGAAAAACTACAACACACAACTTTTCCCTCCACCATAGCTCACCGTCTTGTCATGGTTCCTCCCCCAACTTTATCTCTTTGAACATGGCATTTGTACCCAAGAATTTTTTTTGGCGGACATTGCTCTGGCCTTTGAAGCCCTTGCTGCCCTACCTTCTAGTCGCGCATAGGTCGGGCCATGGAGGCCATAGTGCTAGCGACAAACTCGTAGGAGATGATCGACATCAATAGAGCCATGTGGCCATGTCTCTTGCTTGATTGAAGCTTGCTAGTGTTAGGGCTAGCCAATCCCATGTATGTGTGGTTGTTGCGATAGTTGCTCTTGAACCACATGTTGAAAGTGGAGCAATATCTCATCGGACGACACAAGCGGAGCACAGGATGCCCATGGGGACACCAAAAGCCATGTGAAGTGCACCGGTGCTGCCGCCTTATAATATAACAAGACTTGAATTTGCCACATGCGGCCACCATGCACATCACCCCATGCACAAAGTAGAGTTGTGGCAATGCTGGAAGTTGACATGGGCGGTCCTTTCCCCCTTGACCTTGTCGTTTCGTTGAAAGCACGTGTCCTTCAGACTCAAGGCAGCGCATAGTGTGTCATTACCCTCTCGAGGGGGTTGTTGTCCACTCAAGTCTTGCTACATCGTGTTAGTGTTTTTTTCAGGCGGGCTTGAATTGTGACACGAAGCTTCGTCGACATCGGTCCAAAGTGCACCATAACCTTTACGCAGGTCCTCACTGTCAAACTTAACCGGTCCAAAGTGCACCGTCATGGTCAGCGCTCCACGGGCTGGAGCGAGAGAACTCTCTGGCGATAGTCTGATGGGGGCTTGGTGATGAAGCCCGGTGCTTCCATCGAGGCGGTGCGAGTTCGCTTCTTGTCGGCTTCTTCTGTAGCTTATAATTGTGGCTCATGTGTGTTGCTTTAGACCAAACTGAAATTGGGGTGCAATTCGGAATTACAGGGCAAGTTAAGGGGGTAATACAGAGTTATCTAGAAAAATAAAAGAGTGAAGTGCATCTTAAGTCCTCGAACTATTTTGAAGGTATCATGTAGGTTTTTAAACTATGAAAAGTGTCATCTACGTCCTCCAAAATTCTTGAAGTGTAATAAATGGGTATATATGTGACACCTCAGAAATAGTTCAAGGACCTACATGACATCTTTGAAATAGTTTAAGGACCAGGATGACACTCATATTGCACTTTGAGAACCTGGATGACGATTTTCATAGTTTAATGAGCTACATGACATCTCTAAAATAGTTCGAATGCTCTCCGAGCGCGAGCGTCACGCCGGCGCGGCTGCAGCCAGCTCGGTCAACGCGCGGCGGAAGGCGGCCGCCGGCAGAGGATGTTGGCGAGCACGGCGACAGCTCCAGGTCCATCTCTTCCCCGTCCTTGCGTTATGTTCGCCTCGTTGACGATCGCGACCAGATCCCCTCCGCAATCCAGATTACCACATCGATTTGGGGATTTGGGGATAGAACCAGGTATTCAGATCGGCTGATCCCGTCGAAAGCTTATGGTTCAACTAGTCTGCCTCCTACATTTTGTATGCCTTTCTCTGTAATTTCTAAGACCCTCAAGAAGGAGATAATATCTGCCCATATCATCTATATAAAGGAGCACACATTTGCGAACCTTTTTTAAAATTTTGATGGAGTTTACTAGCAGCTACAGTCAGGTGACATCCTATATAAAATTTACAAAAAATTTATTGCTCTGAACTACACTAAGAAGTATTTTGACAATTGTCAGTCTAGACTGGTAGCAGATTTCTACAGCCGAAAAACATAGCATGATACATCATTATTCTTACTAACCCACCCAGTGTTTAATGTCACTGCTACAACGAATTGGAAGCATCACGAGCATGAGGAGAGTGTATGACCTCGACCTAACGTGTTTTCACTTTAGCTGCTCCTGTATAATTGCTGGTATGATCCTTCAAGTACTTCGACATCTCTGTGCTCATTCCATCTTTCCAGTAGAAAAAGTTTCCTCTCAACAATGCAATTCTTGGCCCCATGCCCTCAACTACATGTGTAGTCAGCCTAGGAAATAATCAAAATCAAAATGGCTGGTCTCTGTCAGTTAACTAGGATCCTCTCTATTCGGCCACCCCTGTCATGTGGAGGAAGTGTCATCTCCATCCGTGTTACACCTGCTGCCAAGCCGGCAGCAGCGTCTCTGAAGACCGAACCATTTCCCTTTGAGACAAGCCTGCTTCACTTTACTCTCTGCACCTTTTTGCACAGGCATCCAGGGATAGGGTTTGAGTAGAAGTATTCCTCCTGCCTTGGACTCTCACCAGGTAATCTGTCATACGGACCTCCAAGTCTATCCTCATGATGCTTCCTCACTTCACTTTGGAATTCATCCCAGGGCATGGAACCGTCGTCGAGTTTGTCAACGAGCTCTACAAACTTCAGCCTACAAACAAGAAATAAGTTATGACCAAGAATTTTTAAGATCAAAATAAGTAAATTCTACCTGCAATTTCCAAGAACTTACCTGTCGGGGTTTATAGTTTTTCTGAAACCTTCGAATCTTCGGTGACCCTGAACTGCCCTGGCCATATTTCCGTCGTAGGTATACACAAAGACATCGCTCTGCAGGGCCACGATATAGTCCACAGCAGCTAGCCTGTTCTGGTACAACTCGAGCGGCTCTAGTTCATCTACTGTGGCTAGACTGTAGTGCGTGTAAATGTTTGGGTATTCTGCTTTCAGCGCATCCATGCTGTGTGCCCCGTAAATTTCACCAGCCACAATGTAAATTTTAGTGCTGGAAGGATATCCCATGGCTTTGAGGAACACAGCAGCTTCGCGAGGCGTCATGGGACACCCGCCCTGGAGCCGCTTCTCCCCGCTGTTGATCTCCTTCTCCTTCCAGTGTCTCACTTTGAGTCGCATATCAGTCAGCTCGTCTGCCTCATTAAGTGTCAGGTTGTGGTTGCAGCCAGTGAAAGCCAGCATGTCCTTCTCGTATCTGTGCAATTAATAGAAGAAGCAAATTAACAATCAAGGATCAGTGATCTGGAGAAAAAAAAAACCCGGCAGGAAAGAAGTGTTTTGATGTAGGAGTATTAATTATAATCACCTTAAGTGAAGTGCGATGTAATGGTCTGATCCCCTTTTCAGTCTCTCAACTAGGGTAGTACCAAGTTCTTCAATCTCTTTCCTGTACTGAAGCGCTTTGTAGTTTGCACGGCATCGAAGCCTTTGGAGAGAAGGAGCGAGGCCGTTGTTGACAATCCGTGAATCCGTATGGGTAAATCTCACTACTTTGTACTTCTTCAGTATCTTTGAGAAATCTCTGTAAAAGGAAGCCTGCAAAAACAGAGCGAGCGCTTAAACACACAACGAACTTTTGATGTTCCTGCAGTCTATATATGATCAGTAAGGACATATTGACTCTTACCCTGGACCAGGATGTGGGCGCTCTCGCGTAGGGCTTCACCCTCCTATAAGCTGGTGGTAGGGAATCTACAACCACAATGTCCTCCTTCAATGTTTCCTTGAAGTGATCCACGTCGAATATATCTTTGAAGTCACTGTATTCAAAACGACAAGCTGTCAGTTAACTTGGTGTGTCTGTTTTCCTACAGGACACGAGCAGCAAAGACGACACAACAGACCTTGGATCAGTCCAGAACGACTGATGATCCAGAGTGGGGATTACCAGTGACGCATTCATGATCTTTGCCACTGCAACCATATCACTGATCTGTAAGAATTGTTCCAGGTTAGCTGAAAGGCACCGACAAATAGCGAGGGTTAGGGCAAGCATATACATACCCCCATCCTCATCTGGTTTAGCCCGCCGTTTGCGTCGACAATCAGATAGCCGACAGTCGCATTGTCAGTCCCTGCAACGCGCGCGCCAAACACGAGAATGTTAGCTGGAGCTGGAAGAAAAATGGAGTGAACGAATGGTAAAACAAGAAACTTACTGCGCTGATTCTTTGGGCGTGCGATGCACTGGCTGTAACCCCCGCTGTCTGGCTTCATCCATATCTCCGGTGTCTGCCCAGGTTTAAGAGGAAACTTCAGCATGGTCAAAGCGAGCACAGCACATGATCTGAGTGAATGCTTGGCTTTCCTGAAAGGACTTTCTTGGCCGCACATAGGCACAAGATTGTTGCCTGGAAAGTGTCTGCCGGCCCTGCCCTAAACCTATGCATCATGAAGCCCGTTGGCCCTACTCCCTGGTTTCTTTCTACCCGTGCAGCATATTTTTTTACACTTCTGGATACTTCAGTAATTTTATACGAGGGTTGGTAGGATCCTGGTAGTTCGCTATCATTGAACTTTCAGTTGTGTCAAGATGAAAATTTCAAAACCAGGACATTACTTGTAGACAACGGAGTCGAATGGAGGGCACCTCAGCAATTTCTTTGAATTTATTTTCTGAAAATAAAAGTCATTGCATGGAAAACTGACTCCCTGAATTAGTCAATTTTAAACTAAATCTATACCAGTGAGGCATCTAGAAATGCGGCCACGGAGGGGTCTCGTACCAAATCTTGGCATTGCGTCAGGAAAATTTAGTTGTTGCACGGAGAAGTGAAATTTTCCTATATACCACTCCCTCTAGTGATCTAAAACGTCTTATATTAGTTTACAAACGGAGTATTAAAATGATTTACTCGACGATTACAAGGGAAAGCAACCTCGGCAGCATCGTGGGTAATCATCACTGCCCCTCATCGGCCAAGCAGCCACCAGAGGAAACAAAAGCGATGTATCTCACATGTAGAGACTATGGACAAAAAAATGCCGCCAAGAACAAGGAAAACATGCGCGCATTTAAAAGGAACCCACTTGCCACGCATCATCAAACGATTTAGAGAAGCGTCGCCTTGGACTCTCTCTGGAACTCACGTCAAGTTCTTCGGTTCAAGTGGCTCACGCTAGCTACAAGTGCAATCTAAAACAAAATACTGGTCGTTATCACCAGTCTTTTCGCCCGTGTACCCTACCCAGTCGGCAACACGTCTCCTGCGTTTTCTTCTTATCAAGTTCGAGGGTTTACACCGGGAACTCTACGATCGACCAGGAAGCAAATTGGACCGTGCTGTCTGTTTACAAGTTTAGCTTGGTCGGATAATGAGACAAGGTGCTGCGTGCTAAGGCTTTCTCGCCCAACTATCGCTTGCATGACGTCCTAACTCATCCATTTTCAGGTAAACTGTCTAGAGTTAGTTATTGCCCATTCTAGTGTGGAATATTCGGTCGGCCTCATGCATCCCCAGCATGGAGATCATCGACTTCAATTCTACTCGCCCAACTTCCAAAATATAAAACCAAGTTCATAATGGTTCAAAATATAAAACCAAGTTCATAATGGAGGAGTACGTAGTAATAATAATGGAATTATTCGCAAGAAAAGAGTGAAATTGGCGCTAATGGAGGTTAAGCAAGTGAAGTGCGTGCGCGCGCGTGGTGGTTATTCTTGCAAGCGCATGCATGAAAAACCGTTAACTAAAAGACGGTTGTACGTAATAGATTAAGCAAGGGCTTGACCGAGAGATTAACGGAGAGATGCACGTAGTACGTACCGGAGGATCGGGCGGGCGGCGGGTGAGTGCCGTCAGGTTCTCCTCCGTCCACCCCATCACGTCGGCGTCGGCCACCTCCACCCTCTGCACGAGCCTGCCGCCCTCCTCGCCGTCGGCGCCGGCCGCGGCGCCGCCGCCGCCGCCGGCTCCTCCCCGGCCGCCTTGCGACTGGGAGCCCAGGAAGCCGACGACCGCGACGAGGCCGAGCAGGCAGAGCACGGCGGCCCTCATCCAGGCGTGCCCCGCGGCGCGCCTCCTCCGCGCCAACAGCGACGCCCTCCCGCCGCAGGCCGCGCCGGCGGCCAGCAAGGGGACGCCGTGGCCGTGGGCGCCCTCGCCGTCCTCGAGGGCGAGGAAGGGGTCGCCGCCCCCGCAGCAGCAGTCGTCGCCGCGCTCGATGTCGTTGAGGCGCCTGCGGTGCGGGCCGGGGCTGGTGGCGGAGGACGACGACGACGAGGAGGACGACGATGAGCAGCAGGCGGTGGTTGTGTTGTTGGCGGTGGAAGTGGTTGCCGCGGGTGTGGTGGACGACGTCGCGGCCGCGGCCATAGCCCTGCGAGCGAAACCCGGGGCGCCGCGGTTTTCTTCGGCGGGGCGCCTAAGAATAGGTCGGCCCCCCGCGGGAGAAAAGCCCGGGAAAGAAGACGGAGTCGATCGAGCCTGGCGGTGGCCTCCTTCTTGCTTGCCTGATGGTGGCAACTGCCGCGCGCTCTGTGTGTGTGTGAGAAGACTCGTCGTCGTCTGGATCGGTCGATCGATCGATGGGTCTCGTCGTCTCCGCGGGAAGCGTGGGTCGTTGGTTGAGGCCGGGGCGGGGCGGGGTGGGGTGGGGTGGCGCGCTTTTTGTATGCCGAGGTGTGGAAGGTGTAGACCGATACGTAGTGGCGGTGGGGAGCGTTCCATATCCGGGTCGGCCTCGGCGTGCGTGCGTGGCAACTCGCACCCAGCTCCGATCGGATTCCATGATGTGACGGCCCAAGTGGTGGTGCCGTGGTGTCGTCCGATCGATCAGGGCCGAGGCATAGCGGATGAACGGTTCTGATCAAACGTATCAGAGTAGTAACTGACAAGATGTGTCCGACACGGTGAATTATTTGGTATTCTGATCGGACGACTCCTCGACCGGGCCTGGAACGTTTGTATCCGGTTATGCATATGATATCTGTATCCGATTATGTTCGTGTTTTGTGTGCAAAAATATTTGGGAGGTAGGGCCGGGGTTTGTGACGTGTCAATCAACGGGCGTATATATTGCCGTTCAGGTTACGGCAAGGATGATCGAAACGGAAATCGTTTTGTGAGTTTTGTCCGAACGAGCCAGGAGAATATAAATGCTGAACATGGGCCTGCCTGAAACATTTGCAACTGTGTTTCGATTTGATGCGGCAATCAATTGGGAATCCAGCTGCGTACTGGACGCACGTGTATGAATGCTCCGTTTGATCAACCGCGGCCGCATTCCTTGATCGATCGACTGGCTTCTGGTTGGAGGAATGACACGGTAAGTACACGGGCACGTGCTGGAGTAATGCTACTGCTACTGCTGTACTGCGACTCCTTGCATCATTCTGTAAATCATCTCGCCGGTGTCCCCCCGCTCTGCCTCGTAGTACAAGATGGTTCTCGCGTCCAAAAACCCGCTTGCATGCAAAACTGCGCCTCGCATCGCCCTCCCCCTAGGGCGACTCGGGCGGCCAAAAACCTAGCCGCCGCTGCCGCAAACTTCCTCCTCCCCTTCCTCCGCCGCCGCCAGAAGACGCCGCCGGGCTAAGCCCGGGGGCCGACGGCGGTGGCGGGGATCTCCTCTCTCGCGCGTCTCCGGGGTGGGGCGGACCCCAAGGCGTGTGATGGCGCGACCGATCTGGGATCTGCGGCACGGCGGATGGCGGCAGGCGGCGGGAGGCCGGCCCGTTCTCGAACGGCGACGGCTTGGCGCGGCGGGCCAGTGCTGTTGGTGTTGCGGATGGCCCTTCGGGCGGCGGCGGCGGCGGCTGCGGTTGGCGGCTGCCGGCTTGGCTGTGGTGGCGTGCATGCTGTCTTCAGATCGGCGTGGAGGGCCTGGTGGTCTCGTCGGCGACACCTCCGATCAGATCTGTTCTGACCGGTGCAGCCGGCGGTGGTGGTCATCTCTTCCGCCAGAGGTGGTCGGCCTGAGGCTGGGTGTTCGGATCTCGGGATCCGTCATCTGGCACCAGCTGCGAGTCGGGAAGACGTAGTTGCCGGTGAAAACCGAGCCGACGGCGGGCGATGGCGGCGTTCCACGTCGTTACCTTGATGAAGGCATCGTCATGTGACTTCCGTCGACCCACTCGTATTGCTCCGGGGGAAACCCTAGGATCTGGTGTTCCAGACCGGACGATGGCGGCACACTGCGGTGTCGTTTCTCTCTTGGGAGCGTCGTTTTGTGGAGCAGCGCTGGAAGTCAGAGGCAGGAGGTGGAGCGGCTTCGTCTTGCACGGAGCTTCGGTGGAGATGTCAAGTCATGCCTGACCGACAAGTGCTACGCTTGGTCATGCCTGGTCGGCAGGTGCTACGCACGAGACATCCTCCAAGGGCTTCAAGCTGTGTCGGCTGGTGGTACGTGGCAGCATGGCGCTGAGGTGTATCAGTGGTGACCGATGTGTACAGCTGTTTGCGCGCAGGGAGGTGTTGGGGAACGTAGTAATTTCAAAAATTTCCTACGCACATGCAAGATCATGGTGATGCATAGCAACGAGAGGAGAGAGTGTTGTCCACGTACCCTCGTAGACCGAAAGCGGAAGCGTTAGCACAACGCGGTTGATGTAGTCGTACGTCTTCACGATACGACCGATCAAGTACCGAACGCACGGCACCTCCGAGTTCTGCACACGTTCAACTCGATGACATCCCTCGAACTCTGATCCAACCGAGTGTTGAGGGAGAGTTCCGTCAGCACGATGGCGTGGTGACGATGATGATGTTCTATCGATGCAGGGCTTCGCCTAAGCACCGCTACGATATGATCGATGTGGATTATGATGGAGGGGGGCACCGCACACGACTAAGAGATCCAAGGGATCAATTGTTGTGTCTATGGGGTGCCCCCGACCACATATATACATGAGTGGAGGAGGGGAGGGGCCGGCCCTCTCTATGGCGCGCCCTAGGGGAGTCCTACTACCACCGGGAGTAGGATCCCCCTTTCCTAGTAGAACTAGGAGCCCTTCCAAGTAGTAGGAGTAGGAGGGAAGGAAAGGGAAGGGAAAAGGAGAAGGAAGGAAAGGGGCGCCCTCCCTCCCTAGTCCAATTCGGACCAGCCCATGGGGAGGGGTGCGGCCACCCTTTGAGGCCTTTCTCTCCTTTCCCGTATGGCCCATTAAGGCCCAATACGAATTCCTGTAACTCCCCGGTACTCCCGAAAATACCCGAATCACTCGGAACCTTTCCGATGTCCGAATATAGTCATCCAATATATCGATTTTTACGTCTCGATCATTTCGAGACTCCTCGTCATGTCCCTGATCTCATCCGGGACTCCGAACTCCTTCAGTACATCAAAACACATAAACTCATAATATAACCGTCATCGAACTTTAAGCGTGCGGACCCTACGGGTTTGAGAACTATGTAGACATGACCGAGACACGTCTCCGGTCAATAACCAATAGCGGAACCTGGATGCTCATATTGGCTCCTACATATTCTACGAAGATCTTTATCGGTCAAACCGCATAACAGCATACGTTGTTCCCTTTGTCATCGGTATGTTACTTGCCCAAGATTCGATCGTCGGTATCTCAATACCTAGTTCAATCTCGTTACCGGCAAGTCTCTTTACTCATTCCGTAATACATCATCCCACAACTAACTCATTAGTTGCAATGCTTGCAAGGTTTAAGTGATGTGCATTACCGAGAGGGGCCAAAGATACCTCTCCGACAATCGGAGTGACAAATCCTAATCTCGAAATACGCCAACCCAACAAGTACCTTCGGAGACACCTGTAGAGCACATTTATAATCACCCAGTTACGTTGTGACGTTTGGTAGCACACAAAGTGTTCCTCCGGTAAACGGGAGTTGCATAATCTCATAGTCATAGGAACATGTATAAGTCATGAAGAAAGCAATAGCAACAAACTAAACGATCAAGTGCTATGCTAACGGAATGGGTCAAGTCAATCACATCATTCTCCTAATGATGTGATCCTGCTAAATCAAATGACAACTCATGTCTATGGTTAGGAAACATAACCTTCTTTGATCAACGAGCTAGTCAAGTAGAGGCATACTAGTGACACTCTGTTTGTCTATGTATTCACACATGTATTATGTTTCCGGTTAATACAATTCTAGCATGAATAATAAACATTTATCATGATATAAGGAAATAAATAATAACTTCATTATTGCCTCTAGGGCATATTTCCTTCAGGAGGAGGTGCCGTTGGGCGCCGTGGTGGCGTCGACGATAGCTGGACCGAGCAAGGTTGATGCATCAGTACAGTTCTAAAGATGGAGCGGTGGTAGTTGGCGGCGGTGGTCTCTGAGAGCACGCCGGATCAGTGTGTGCCCCAGACCGGGCAAGTGGCTAGGTTGGGGTCTCAGGTCTTAGATGTTAGGCTTGGCTGCGATGTCTGTTTGGTATTAGGCCCAGGCTATCTGCGCCCCTTCATCAACTGGATAGATGTAGCGACAGTTTGTTGCTTAGACGGCGACTTTAGTCTTACTATTGTATGACTTTGTAAGGTCTTGTGAGAATAATTAATAAAGTGGCCATATGCATCGCCCAGATGCAGAGGCCGGGGGTCATCCTCCTTTTCTAAAAAAACACTATGTATGTATATGTATGATGAGCAGTACGTGCGTACGCACATCGATGTATTGCAATGACATCATGTCTGTTTTTTTAACAAGGCAAAGACTTATCATTTCATTAATTAAGAGGGAAGGTTTGTACTAACAAAGCCCAATAGAGGGCAAGAAAAAAGGTCATCACTCTCGCGGCATTACTGAACCCAAGGGCATGTTTGGTTTCAGTTTGAAACAGTAGCTGCATTGCATACACATCTCAACCCAGCCTGGCTCTGAAAAAACAACCTCATATGCAACATCTGCGAGCTGTTTGGTTGCCTGCATATGGACTTCCTGCATTAGGAGATCAACTTTGGCATGTTGTTTGGTTGTCTGCATTGTCTCGGCGCATGCAACTACACGTTGTTTGGTTGCCCGCATGGGGTATGATTAAGAGTTAGCACTTGCACTTAGCACACAGGGCTAAGACCTAGCAGAGGAAGGAGAAGAAGAAATGCAGTGTGCTTGGACCATGGCGACTGCGGTGGATAGTGGCCGTGGCGCCGTGTCCAACATGACGAGCATGGAGTCGTGGACGAGCGACCCCGCCGGCGGCACGGCGAGCGACACCGTCGGTGAACTAGTTGTGGTGCTCGCGCAAAGACAGTGGACAAAGGAGGAGAATGCAGTGCTCGCGCCATGGTATCGTCAGTGCAGTGGACGAGAGAGGAGGCCGAGATGATCGACGCCGGAAACGACTCCAGTGTAGTAGGGCGAGAGAGAGGAGGCGAAGAT